GGGTCTGGACCCCTGCTCCTCTGATGCTGCTTGGCCTGCTGTGTTCATCCAGCTCTACACCTTGTTATCTCAGCATCGGCAGTTCCCACTATCTCCGAACTTAAATGAGAGGTTTCCATTGCCTCCTATTTCCCTGACTGATTTTGTTTATAAAACCAAACATAGCATGAGACTGAGCTCCCACTACATTCGCCATATTATTATATCAATAGCCAGCATTAGCAGGGCATTCACATTGACAAAGCTGTTCTTCTCTGCTGGTCCCTCAGGGTTGAGGAATGGCTTGCTTCCACTCCACGTGGGGGGTTACGAAGAGATGGGGGTATGTTCTGTAGTGCCTGAATAGTTCAATCCTATAGCCACAGACTCTGCCATAGGTGGGGCAGGTGGTTTTTGAGACAGATAGGCGAGACACTCTGGATTCTGCAGTCTTTCCATTGCTTGTGCTTGGCCTCCAGTCAGTGATGTTCAAAATGGTTGGTGCCTTCATGGATGCTTCTTCTCCAGTTTGTATGTTCTAGGGCAAGTGATTTACCTGTGTTGGTGGGGATGTTGCATTTGTTTAAGGAGGCTTTCAGGGTGCTCCTGTAGTGTTTCCTGTGTCCCCCTAGAGATCTCTAATCATTGTGGAGCTCAGAGAAAAGCACTTCTTTAGAGAGTCTTGTGTCGGGCATGCGGACAATGTAGCCTGCCCACCACAGCTGGTAGTGTGTAACCAGTGCATTGATACAGAGTCTGTTCTCCTGGGAGAGGACGCTGCTATTGGTACACGTGCCAGTGGATTTGCAAGAATTTGTGACAGCAACACTGGTGATAGCTCTCCAGGGATTTTAAGTGTCTTCTGTACTTGGTCCATGTTTCCCATGCAACAGGAGGGTGGGGACCATGTGCAGATCATGAGCTTGGGTGCTGGATTTAAGGTCTCAGACTTCAAATATTCTGTTCCTCAGATGTTCTAAGGCTGCACTGGTGCACTGGAGTTGATATTGGATTTTGTCAATGTCTGCTTGCACCACAAGGAGGCTGGCAGGGAATTGAAAATGATCCATATTATTCAGGGAGTCGCTGTGGATTTTGATGGTTGAGGACAGTGTTGTGCAGCAGGAGCTGGCTGGTAGAAAACCTTTGTTTTTTGAATGTTTAGTTTGAAGCCCATTCTCTCAAACACCATGGTGAATACATCAATGATAGTTTGTAGCTCGGCCTTTGGGTGTGCGCACGTGGGAATTGTTGGCAGACTGAAGCTCTGGCGACAGAAGTTGGGGTGGTCAAAGGCTGAACAATTTCCCTGTATGTTACCTCACTCTGGGAGCTTTGAGGAGCTGGCGTGGAGTGTTGCAGTAAGAAATATGTAGAAGCGCATTGGTGTGATGACACAGTCCTGTTTGACATCAGTTTGCACTCGTATAGAGTCGTATTGGTGAGCATCACAACTTGCATGCCATTTGCGAAGCAGGCAGAGACTGGTAACAAATTTTTGCAGGCAGCTGAATTTAGGGAGACTATTCCACAATCATTCACGGTTGAGAGTCAAAGGCCTTTGAGAGATCGAAAAAATCATGTACAGAGGTTGGGGTTGTCCCTGCATTTGGATTAGCTACGCACTGCCAATCATGTCCATTGTGCTTCTTGATGGTGGAAGCCGCATTGAAACTCTGGAGGAACTCTTCAGTCACTGGGAGGAGATGGATGAGGAAGCTTCTCGCAATGACCTTTTCTGTGGCAGATAGTAGGGAAATCCCTCAAATTTCCAGTTGGACCTGTCCCTTTCTGGAAGATGGTCACATTTGCAGTGTCTTCCAGATTTCCTAGTATGCTCTCTTCCTTCCAGACAAGGCGAATGAGATCATGGATTTGTGTTAAGAGTCTCTCACTGCTCTTTCATGGTACTTCAGCAGAGATTCCATCTGCTTCACAGGCCTTGTTGTTTTTCAGCTGTGGGATGGCTTTTTTGACCTAACAGCGGTTCGGACATGCAATGAGATGTGACAGATAGCGTACTGTATGATGGTTTTGACAGCACTAACATCAAAAGCTGCATCTTGGTTGAGGAGATCCTCAAAGTGTCCTCTCCTATGGGTGTTGACTGCCTCTTGGTCTCTGATGACCAACCCTGTTTTTGGCTCTCAGTGGAGTTGTTCCCTGGAACTCACACCATAGATGATTTTGACTGCCATGAAGGAGCCTCACATGTCATGGTTGTTGGCAAATTTGAGTCTCCTGTGCTCTTTCCACTCACCATGTATTCATTAGCTCATGGGTTCTCTCTTGCAACTTGGCCTGGTTTTCTCTTGCTCGAGTTTTGGTACAGCTGCCAGTTCAGGAACGCCTTGCATTGGTCGTCTAGGAGATCCTAGATCTTCTAATTGTTCTCATCGAACTAGTTTTGGTGTTTCCTCTTCAAGACACCGAGCAATTTTACGAAGGTGCTGACTATGGGTGGTCTTTAGGGTGGACAAGGCCTGTGGGCACTTTCCGACTGGAAGGTTGGTCATCGCCAGTTTGGCTGTGAGGCAGCGCCCGACTAAGCCTTTCTTCCCAGGTCCTTGAGTCCAGCAACATCGGGTGTCCTGCAGCACAGGTTTTCCTACCTCTGCCAGTTTGGGGGACAGGTTGATGGAAACAGTAAAGCAGATTCGTCGGTGGCTGGCCCAGCAGTTGTTGGCTCGATCATAGCGCAGACATCTATGTGGCATAGTCTATTAGGCGCCAGTGCTTGGTTTAAAAATACAAAAGGATCCAATAAGACTGGTTCTAATAAAACACACCTTGTGCATTTTCCTGACAATAACCTCCAATATGCTTTGCCACATCATATTTGCGTGACACATCTTTTCCTTTCTTGTCATTTAACTTTAGTTTGCTTACGTACAATTGATTGTCTCCAAGAACTGGGAGATATCCATGAATACTCAGCATTTGTTGATCCTTGTTTAAGCTCAGTGAGTTTAAGATATATTTTCAAAGGATACAGAGGATGAATTGTCAAGTCTAGTTCAAAACTTTTGACTTTGTTAAGGTCCATTACCTCTCAGTGGCCTGCTCAAATCTGTCATCCCTTATCCGTTGACTTAAATATTGAATGTATTTCTCTTCCTTCAGCTGAAGGTTTTAAGCTGGACCCTGGATGGACAAACTGTGAGCCATTAAAAAAAGCTCATTATCAATGGATCATTATCAGTGTATGGGATATTACAGAAAACACCTGCAATATATCCCACTTGTATTGGTTAGTCAAATACTCACTGTCAGCATGAACAAATCACCTTACTTCACTTTTTACTGAAAGATTTTTAATTAGTATTTGACAAATGCTTTTTCATGCAAAAAAAGAATATACATCAGCAATAACAGATAAATAGGTCAGCATTGTTTTTTCCTTCAGACTTAATCTATGAATGTCAAAAACTCAGAGAACATGCAACTAACCAATTTGTACTGACTACACAGTAGTCCTGTAATATCTGTTTGACAGGAATGACATTTTCCACTGCTTAGGACAGAAATCCTGTGACATTTTTATTCATGGCAGCATATGCCCTTGTAATGATCAGCTCTGGCCGATCTGCTTACTGCAGCAGCCCTGGAGCCCTCCGAGAACAAATAAGCAGTGGAGGTGCCAGCAGTCCAACCTCCTTATTAAACAACGCCAGGCTCCTAACGAAGTCCAACTGTTGGAAATTCAGAGCGTAAAACCCTCAAGGGCACCTCTGGCACATGACTGCTTGCATAATTTTTAACTTTTCAAGAACTAGGCAGCTGACGACCTTGCATTTCCAATCTAAGATCCACTGCTACCAAGTTTACGTTTGGTGCAACGGTGGAGACTGTATTTTAAGAATCAATGAAGAAAATGTCATATTCATGAATAATTGACTTTTTGAAGTCACTCTTCCAAACTTTCAGCCTTACTGAGTTACACTAAAATTGGGTATTTCAAACAGTAATCTGTATTAGTTACATTAAAAGCACACAGTATGATTTCTAAACTTGCTCTCTGGGTATTGAAGATGCGTTGTGTAATGGAGCAGCTTACAGATTACTAGGTTCACTTTACAGTTTTCTGGTGGTCAGTGCGTTTGAATGTCAATAGACATTCAGCCACGACATTGCAATAGAATATTTGTACTGAATTTACGTCACACTAGATTTTTTTTTATTTTCAAAAGAGGTGGGGAAGCTATTAAAGCTCTGTTCTACAGGGTTGGGAACTTCTGACTTTTACTGATGCAAAGTCAAATCTTTTATGAGAAACTCTTATAATGTACCAAAGAATGCATATGTCTGAAAGTACTGAGAACAAGCTAAATACAGATCCAGAATCTCGACAAACATTGTGGGATAAATTTCTGTCTGGGCACATTTACAACCAGATCACGTTTAGCTGCCAGTGAGAATGTCATGTTCAGGCAGCTGGGATTCAGAAATGCAGTTGCAATGGGAAAAGGCTGAAAGGGAAAATACAAGGACCATGGAGTTGAGGATGAGTTTGGAGATTGGAGGCATGAACAACTTTTAAAAAAAAATACAAATAAACATGATTTGGCTGTGATAATGGCCAGGAAAAAATAAGGAACCACACAGTAGGCTGCTTAATAAGAGCTCATGGTGTTGGAGGTAGTAAATCAGCATGGATAGTGCAGTGGCTAACTACTCGAAGACAGAGAGTTGGATATTTTGAGATGGCAAGCCATAACTAATAGTGTGCCACAGGGACCAGTGCCAGGTCTGCAATTACTTACAATATATCTTAACAACTTGGAGGAGGAAATTGAATGTACTATAACCAAGTTTGCATATGATATGAAAATAGGTGGGAAGGCAAGTGGTGAGGAAGAACAAAGAGTCTGCAGAGGATTAAACAAATGGACAAAAACTTGGCAGATGGAATATAATGTGGGAAAATGTACGGTTATGTACTTCAGCAGGAAGACTAGAAGGGTAATATTATTTAAATGGAGAAACACTGCAGAAAACTATGAATCCAAGTTCAGCTGGAAATAGGAAAAGTAAATGGAATGCTGGCCTTTAAGGGATTGGAGTCTAAGAGTAGGGAGGTTTTGCTGAAACTACACAAGGCACTAGTCAAGACAACAGCTGGAATACTATGAACAGTTTTGGGGCCCTTGTGTAAGGAAAGATACACTGGCATTAGATGCAATCCAGAAAAGGTTCACTAGGTTAATACCTGATAATGAGGAGAAGATGAGTAGATTGGGCCTGTACTGTTGGAACACAGGAAAATGAGATGCAACCATATTGAAAAACAGAGATTCTTAGGGGACTTCACAGCACAGACAGGGACAGGTTGTTTTTAATTGTGGGAGAGTCTCTAACTAGAGGGTACAATTTCAGAATAAGGGGTTCCAGATTTAGGATACAGATGAGGAAGAATTTCTTCTCTTAGAAATTAGCGATTTTGATTAATTCTCTATTGCAGAGGACTGTTGAGGTGTGTCATTAAGTGTATTCAAAGCTGAGATAGACAGATTTTTAATCAGCAAGGGAATTAAAAGTTATGGGGAAAAGGCAGGAAAGTGGAGTTGAGGATTATCAGATCAGCCATTAATTTTAGTAAATGGTTTAGCAGACTTGATTGGCCTACTTCTGCTTTTATTTTGGTCACTTGCCCTGCTAAGTGGTAATAAATTTTGTAGAAAATTCCTTCAATAAACTTCAGATACTTCATTAATTTGTTAAAATATTAAATCATGGGATGTATTGTTAACAAGAACCACACCTTTCCCCCCCACCCCCGCCATTCCTAATTGTCTTCAAGAACGAAACAAGGAGCTAACCTTTTTAAGTAGCTATCAGGGATACAAATAGAAAACTGGTAATCTGGTATTCTTTGCACAAGCATTCCACTTGAAAAATTGGTGTACTCAAAACAAAAACAGCCAGTAGTCATTGATGAGAAAAGCCAACAGACTTGGTGGGCAGAAGAGTCTGTTCCTGTGCTGTACTGTAGTGTATTATATATCATTTTTTGGTCAGAGAGCTGTTAAGCTAATGACTTATTATCAGATCTTGGAAAGAAAACAGTCTTTTTTATTTGTTCTTGTGATTTGCTGAGCCAGTATTTACTGCCCATCTTTGATTAACCTTGGGAAGCTGCTGGTGAGTTACCATCTTGAACTGCTCCAGTCCATGTAGTGTAGGTACACTCACAGTGCTTTTCAAGAGAGAGATCCAGGAATTTGACACAGCAAAAGAGACAAATGAAATCAAGAGATTATTACAAGGCATTAATGTATTGGAGGATCGAATTAATGTCACATTTAAAGAGGTTTTATCGGTGTCATCTCAACCTCTACAACTGACTTATGCGGTCATGAATAAATATCACAGATTATCCAACCTAAGCAATAGAAAACATTGTTCCTGTCAAAAATCTGCACGAATATATTCCAATCCATGCATTAGAACATACAGAAGTATCTCATCTTTTCCCATATAGCAGCTGATAGCTTCTACAGGTTAAGTGAAATTCTCACCATTATTCTGGTGCTTTGCCAACCTTAAGACTGTATTAATGCACAGAGCCTTTTTTAAAATTATAATTAATTGCCCCATTGTTACAGCTCTGAAAACTTGCACCTGCACATCACTTTAGTTCAGAAAGCTAGGTGTGAATATCATTCATATAGAATATTTCATTTTTAAGTGATGAAACACATTATAGGTTAGAACATTTTTTGCAGCACTAGGGAGCTCCTAATAGGGTCCCTATAGTACTCCTTTGCTTCTTTTGTGGGCGACTAGGAAATGTAGGCTTAAAAAAACTGAAGATGAAGGGAGAAGGAAAATGTCTTGTTCATTTATGCAGGCATCCAATATGTCCATAATCAATGTCTAAGTACCCAATGCATGTGGTCTGTCAGAAATGTTGAGTGCTGACTTGAAGATCATAGCTCTGCAAGAAAACTATTTTTGTGACAAGTATAAAACCGAACAAGACAAGCAAGGCAATATTTAAAAAGTTTCCAACCCATTACAGGGTTGCTTAGGTCAGTGGTTATTGAGCTGAAGGATATTTTGTACTCTTTTTGAGGTTACATATATATCATGGCAACTAGGTCCACTTAATCATGGGAGAGGCCAAACATCATTTTCCTGGAGCAGAAACCTCTTGCGGTTAAGTTGGAGGCCACAACAGGCCTCTGGGCAGAACACACCCACTTGCAGCAGCATGGCAATTAGGATCATCATTGAACCAACTGGCCCTAATTATTCTGAGCTCTCCAGAATTGTGTGCTGGTTCAGGAATTACATTGAAGCAGCACAGCCTCCTGGTGGTTTTGCCAGTGACTTTCTGGGAGATGGTCCCTCTTTCAAAGGCATGTAGGGCTCAATCAGGGATCTTTATTGGCTAAGAGACTGGCAGCTTAAAATGAACCCTGCCTGGCTTGCCTCTGACCCCTCTATGCCTTCTCTCTTATAAACCCTTTCCTACGAGCCCATTCTACTCTGACTCACTTGTGGTCTGGGTCCCTCAGTGATCTTAGGCCTCTCCCTTTTCCATTACCAGTGGCAGCTACTGCTTAGAAACATAGAAACAGGAGAAGTCCATTCATTCTGTAGAGTCAGCTCTACTATTCAATTAGATCATGGCTGATTGTCTACCTCAACGCACTTGCCCAAATCATCTCCATATCCTGCGATGCCATTAGTCTCTAGTAATCCAAATTCTGTCTTG